CCCAATTGCTGGGTTTGTCCCTATTTTACCCAGCGCTGGGTTGTATTTAACCCAGCATTTTTTAGAGTGTAGTGATTTCACCAATCAGCAGTCTGACTGCATTTAGCATCCGCTGCTCACTGGTGCTGATTCTGGTACAGTGGTTGCAAGATGGCAACCGGCTGTCAGACAGCCTGCTAGCAAATTGCATTTAGGCTCGTGAAATAAATGTGCTATATATATGTCCCAATCAGCAGTCTGACTGCATTTAGCATCCGCTGCTCACTGGTGCTGATTCTGGTACAGTGGTTGCAAGATGGCAACCGGCTGTCAGACAGCCTGCTAGCAAATTGCATTTAGGCTCGTGAAATAAATGTGCTATATATATGTCATGTTTAATTCTGAATTAACACGGCTGCTTAATTTACTCAAGGTTTAAAGTTTGATTATTTATAACCAAAATTAATGGACATTTTTCTTATAATTACAGTAGCTTTTAGTTTGTACAGTGTGATATTGGTAGGGCCTGTTGCTTTTTGATAATTTTTGTTTATTATAATGTTTTCCCTCTTAAAGGAAGAGTTCATCCAAATATGAAAATGTATTCATCATCAGGCCACCCAAGAGTTTGATGAGTTTGTTTTTCATCTGAACATTTTTGGAGAAATTTAGTATTGGAGTCATGTGGATTATTGTGATGTTTTTATCAGACTCTCATTCTGACGGCACCCATTCACTGCAGAGCAAGTGATGTTAGGGTCAATTTCTCCAAATCTGTTCCCATGAAGAAACACACTTGGAAACATCTCGAATGGCCTGAGAGCGAGTACATTCTCAGCAAATTTTCCTTTCTGAGTGAGCTTTTCCTTTAAAGGCAGTGCACAGTTCTAATATTCTGCCTCATTTGCAGACTTGAGATTTGAATACTAATGTTATATCTTAATATCCTGACAACAGCAATTCAGTATCCTGCGAAATAAAACATCAGACTTGCAATTAAAAAAAACACACATTAACAAGAAAACTTGTAATTTACATTAATAAGCGGTTAATGAAGTCTAGTTCTAGAATGCAACATTCAAAAGAATGATTGAACAGTGGGACGTTAGATTAATATGAATCTAACAAATTACATAATGATTAAGGAGTGAATGGAGTGAATAATCAGATTTGACTGATCTGGGGTAGCAAAGTACTTGTAAAGTGATCGAAAGCATCTTATTTCATGGGAAATAAACATGAAAACATTTGGACATATGATCATTTATATCCGTTTATGGATATATTATTCATATCCTCAGTCCATTGACAAACTGATGTTTTTTGTTGTTGTTGCAAGTACAATGCCACACCACAGAAATGTAACATGTTCAGTACAACATAGTGCCTCATACAAACCACTGTGCTCTGTAAATATCCATATACTTTGCATTATCTATGAGGTTGTTATTTTGTTCTGAAGCATCGAGTGGATTATTTGTTTTTACTCTTTGGTAAAGGCTCTCAAAACCTCGAAAAAAAGGAAAACCAAAATGACACGCTGATCTCATGAGTGCGTCGGGGTGACGAGCGTGTGTTGTAATTACCCATCAGTATTGGTAATTCTCATGTTTCATTGTGACAAACTCAAAAGAAGCCAATCGCAAACGTGTCTAGCACATTAACTTCTCACTGAGTCGTGTAGAATTGTTCATTAGTCGCCAGAAATAGTTTTTCTATCAACCCCGTGGAATTTGTTGTGCGTGTCAGTACCATAGACATCTAACATGTCTAATGTTATAATCTGATTATCACCTTTTTTTAGTCAGTCCATGCATGGTTTGTGTATTGAATATGTTTTTAAAGAGTTGTTACAAAGGATCTGATATTCGTTTGGAGTTGCGCCATTCCTTTCGAAAACATTTGAACCCTGGTGTTTGTCTTGCACTTTAATTTTCTTAACGGAAAGCACACAGGGGGAGAAAAAGATGAAATGCAGCACCTTGTATGTTATTTGTTTTTGTACTTATAAAGTCTTCTTTTTGAAAAGTTTCGCTTTTTTGTATTTCACGTTAAAACTGTACAATTGGACCGCTTCTATATAAAAAAATGAAATGAAATTATCTCTGACTGTGAGCACATTTTCATAAATCAGCACTAATAAACAATATGTATGACACATCAAGTGTTTGTGAACCATAAATGATATACACATTTATTAAATGATATATATACTTGTATTTAAAGGGATAATTCACCCAAAAATGAAAATTCTGTCATTTAATTACTCACCCTCATGTCGTTCCAAACCCGTAAGACCTCCGCTCATCTGCGGAACACAAATTAAGATATTTTTGATGCATTCAGAGAGCTCTCTGACCCTCCCATAGACAGCAATGTAAGTAACACGATCAACGTCCAGAAACGTAACAAGGACATGGGTAAAATAATCCATGTGACAACAGGGGTTCAACCGTAATTTTACAAATCTACAAGAATACTTTTTGTACGCGAAAACAAAAATAACGACTTTATTCAACCATTTGTCTCCTCCGTGTCACCGTAGCGCTGTAACGAATTGTTGAATAAAGTCGTTATTTTTGTTTTCTTTGCGTACAAAAAGTATTCTCGTAGCTTTGTAAAATTATGGATGAACCACTGATGTCACATGGATTATTTTACAGATCTCCTTGCTACGTCTCTGGACTTGGGAACGTTTCAGTTGCATTGCTGTCTATGCAGGATCAGACAGCTCTCAGATTCCATCAAAAATATCTTATCTATCTTTGTGTTCCGAAGATGAACGAAGGTCTTACGGGTTTAGAATGACATGAGGGCGAGTAATTAATGACAGAATTTTCATTTTTGGGTGAACTATCCCTTTAAGTGATTGAAAGGCACTTAAATCTAACTTGCATTTTTTTCAGTAGTTCTATCTGTATCACTTAGCATGTCTCTTTAGTCAGGTTTTACTTTGAACAAGTTATAGTCAGAATGCTGATCGGGTTTGAAAAGTAAAATCAGTTTTTGCCTCCTGCTTTATCACAGAAAAGAAAATCCATTTTAGGCTAAATAAAATATATTAAAATTATTTAATATAATTATTATGAAATATAATAAAAAAAAACATTGTTCAAATGTTTTGGGTAAGGGAGATTTTTTTTAAATGTTTTCTAAAAAAGTATCCTATGCTCACCAAGGCTGCATATATTTAATCAAAAATACAGTAAAATTTACAATTTAAAATAACTGTTTTCTATTTTATAAATTGTAATTTATTCCTGTGATGCAAAGCTGAATTTACAGCATCATTACTCCAGTCTTTAGTGTCACATGATCCTACAGAAATCAGTCTAATACCTGGTGCTAAAGAAATGTTTTCTTGCTTAATATTTTTTTTGTGGAAACATTTTTGTAGGATTATTTGAATTTAATTATATAGAAATCCTATGTAAAAAATGCCTCTATTGTCACTTATTAATTTAATGCATCTTTGTTGAATGCATCTTTTTTTTTTTTTTTTTTAATGACCCCAAACTTTTGCACTGTAGTGAATGTTCCTTTAGAAAAGACACCATATAAAAAATATAGGATTTTCCCCATTTAAATCTGTACATTTTCAAAGTTCGAATTTTCAAAGTTAAATTAGTTATGATAAAAATGCAAATAAATAAAAAGTATATGATAAAAAGCATAGTCTCTATTCAGATGGCCAGACGTTCTGTCTTCCATTAAAGCACAGATGCTCTTTGAATTATTCTCAAATGGTGCTGGAGAACATCATCATCAGGTTTGTATTAGACAAAAATGCAAAATAGAAACATTTTCACAAGTGCTTTCAGACTTTTGGAGCCCACTGTAGGCTTTGTGTACTTATGGTAATACTAAACTCTATGTGTGTGCAAAATGATTTTGATGACTGCTCCAAAAATGATGCACTTATGTTTCTTTGTATAATACCAATATTCCAGACGTTTCATAAATCAACACATTTCCTGTTAACACAGAGGTGGCTTTTATTAGCTCAGCATACAGGATCCAGGGAGCTCCACGGTGCGCTGAGGCAATCAAATGTACGTATAGTGTACTAAATATCACTTTGGATGAAAAGCCAATGACCAGTAACTGTACAGATCAACTTGAGACAATAGTATTTCAGTGTGATATTAAATTCTTATTACAATACCTGATTATTTACCATTACAGTCTTCAATCTTTAATGGCATAGTTAGGAGCTCCACAGTAGCACTCAAACAAATGCTCATTAATGCTTAGAAACAATTGCTACCTTTATTTGGTCCAGTAGACAACGATGAGCAACAGTTCCAACCACAAGGATAAAGGAAAGGCAAAAACAAGGGGATCAACTGTACTGTAAAGGCAGGCTTGGCATTGGGACGACAGGTCTGCTAAGAGTGAAGTCCTTTGTTTCAGTAGAGGTATAGAAGAAACTGAAGCGGCTTTGAGAGTCTGGATATGGTGGTGAGTGGAGTTTGACTTAAAGAATACAACAATCCGAGTCGTCTTTCTTTTCCCGGCGCCTCTGTCCTCCGTGCTGAGATGCGGCCTGACCTCTCATCTGCAGGGATATGAAGAAAGTACACATTTGGAGATCAATTTCAGTAACTCGAGCGAGGAAAAGTTTACAAAGGTCATTTGACAACTGCTTTAGGCTTTTAAAGGAATAGCTCATCCAAAAGGGATTCTTTAAAATATCATAGGGAACTACTAGAGGTTTGGAACAACATGAGGGTGAGTAAATGATGACAGAATTTTCATTTTTGGGTGAACAAGTTTGGGTCTGTAAGATTTGTTTATATTAGATATTAGAATAAGTTCTAAAGAATCATGTGACACTGAAGCCATCACAGGAATAAATTATTTCATATAAAATGTTAAAACGGAAAACATTTCACATTTATTTTTACTGTCTTTTGATCAAATAAATGCAGCCTTGGTAAGCATAAGATACTTATTTAAAAAATCTTTGAACAGGAGTGTACTTTGAGACAAGTATGTGTATATCATTCATGAATCTACTCTTATGTAAACCGCTGCACTATACTGAATGCAACAGTTTACACAATGGTTTATGAATGACTTACTCAGACATTCATTCTGCCAGGGTTTCATGAATAAAGCCAGTTTAATCTCAAAGGATGTTACTGTCTTTCGATCAAATAAATGCAGCCTTGGTAAGCATAAGAGACTTATTTAAAAAAATCTTTGAACACGAGTGTACTTTGAGACAAGTATGTGTATATCATTCATGAATCTACTCTTATGTAAACCGCTGCACTATACTGAATGCAACAGTTTACACAATGGTTTATGAATGACTTACTCAGACATTCATTCTGCCAGGGTTTCATGAATAAAGCCAGTTTAATCTCAAAGGATGATTCTCTAAAGTTTCATGCACAAGAGTTCCCTTCTGAAGGGAAGACAGGAAGTACCTGTCCTGCTGAAGGCTGGTGCTGTTGTGTTTGTGGCTGCTGATACTCCTCCTGCTGTAGCTGTCTGGCCAGCTCAAGATCACTCAAGGGTCCGGGAGCTTCACCCTGCTGCTGCTGCAGGGACATCGCCACCAGGTAGTCCTGGATAACACATTAAAACGTTCACTGAATGAATCTTAAGCCAGTGTTGGTGTATATGTCAACATGAAACAGCTTTCTCACAGCAATTACATGCTACATTAATAATAAATAATGTAGCTTTCTTTTTTGCATTGGGATTTGAGGGAGGTGCTACATGTTAGGCTTTGATATTATTGGTTACCTTATACCTACATGATAGCAAAAAGAAAGGCAAAATCTTAATCACCTGGTCGATCTGCATTTGCTGCTGTTGTTGTGCAGAGGGCTGGCTGGCTCCTGTGGGTTTCTGGGAAGGGTGGCACAATCTGAAGTCTGAGTCACAGAAATTCCCATCCCCCTCCACATTATGGAGACTCTCCCACACTACGCTCTCCTCCTGCAGGAAACCCTGATCTGTGACCAGCAGGTAAAGGTGACCCTGCAATTTCACACATTGAACACATCGATGACTGGTCAGTGGATAAGATGTTGAAAGAATGTTGGTAACAGTAGACAGTAGCCATTGACTTCCAAAGTATTTTTCTTTTTCATACTATGAAAGTCAATGGCTGTAGTCATTGTTTCAAAATATCTTCTTTTGTGTTCAGCAGCTGAAAGAAATTCATATAGGAACGGTTTTCTTAACTCTTATGTTTAAATACGCAAATAAGGTATTATCTAATTAAATATGCACTTTAACATTTTTCCAGTACAAAAATCAGAACATTTTTGTTTCATTTTGTTAACATATTAGACTCAACGGTTATAATAGAGGAGATTTTGGATATATTTTATGACTCAGAAACAGACAGAAAAAAATCATTTTCAATATGTTTGAGGAATAAAATGTTAAAATCAGGTCAGTGATATATCGACAAACATCTCTGTAAAAACCTTAAGAATATAGAAAGGAATCAAACTGTAATTTAAGCACTACAGAAGTGGAAATTTCTGGCTCAGTGCAGGAAAAAAAAAATCATTTTAAGAAAATAGCTTTTACAGATATGTATTGTACAGGTGCAAATAGATTAAATGCAATAAAGTAAACACCTAAAAGTGTATTTTGAATGTTTTCTTTCCACTAGTCTGAGACATCACTTCAGACAAAAATCTCAAAATTGACCAGTGCATAAAAAACATGTTTTTGCCTGTAGTGTCTTGTCTTAAGTCGTAATGTTATACATTTATCAAAGCAACATTTCAGCATTATAGTGCATCTTTCTGCTCAAAATGTGAGCAAAATGCAGTTATTCAAGCTGAATGTTTAACTCGGGGTTATAAACATGAACAAATAAATACTTCTGTGCTATTTTTGCTAAAAATCTGCCCAAAAATCTTTTTTTTTGGTGGGTTTAAAGCGGCTTGACGTCGCTGGGGTTGTTATAATCAGCTTAGCTGCTATGGAGAGTGTTGATGTGGGAAGGCTGATAAACACCTTGTGCTTTATCATAGTGCTGAAGTGGTTGTTCCTGAAAAACACAGACAGTTCGCCCTCCTTGGCTGTCGTGTTGAGCTCACACAGGCCGTGATATGACAGCTGGGTTGCTGTGGACTCCAAAAATTGCTCTGCTATCAAACCTGTAAACAAACAGGCATTAAGACTTACCCATCAGCCATTAATCCAATGATAAGAAGCCCACACACTTCTGATACACAGTATCTGAGCCATTTGTGTTTAAGAAATAACATCAAATGTACCTTCGCTGACTTGACTGCTATCTTTCGAGTGCTTAAACTCGATGATCTTCTCCACCAGTTGGTTGTAGCTGAGTTTGCCCACTGCAGACACCACCTCAGGACTCTGAAGAAGAATGGAGCACTTATATTGTTGTTTGGATATACAGAATTCATACATTAAGAGCATTTTTCTGGGTGACGTGGGTACCTGTGGGTCGACAAGCCAGCCGTGGTAGAGCGGAATATCAAGCAGATCGAAGACGATGCATTCAGGCGTGTACTCAAAATCCGACACACCTGTAAAACGTACATTAACGTCGAGGCCCGTGGACAACTTTGGCAGCACAGCCATCACATCGCTCATGTTCTGTGAAGGGAATGAGAAATATTGCATACAAATACATGGTGCTATTTCAGGGTAATTTATCATGGTTATGTTACTGACCTCAGCGTGTGAGATCTTGAGATTTCTGGGTCAAGTGGAAGATATTATGAGCAATATTTACCACAAAACATGCTAACTGCTCTGAGCTAACCTATTAAGTTGAAATCATGTAGATTGTATTTTAAAAATGACAAATTAATAAATGCATTACAGTTCGTAATTTTTGGTGTCAGTATTCTTCAGAAATCATTCTAATACGCTGATTTGGTGCTCAAGAAACATTTCTTATTATTAATGTAAAAAACAGTTGTGCTGCTTACAACTTTTGTGGAAACTATCATACTTTTTCCAGGATTCTTTGATGAATAGAAATTTCAAAAGAACAGCCTTTATTTGTAGCAATATAAATGCATTTACTGTCACCGTTGACAAATTAATGGCATCCTTGCTGAATAAAAGTAACTCATTTCTAAAAAAAAATAAACCTTGATTATATCTATTTCCAATTTTCAACAAGCCAACGGCAGACTATATTCAGAAAAAAATAACAATGTCAAATATTCCAAAATAAATCATGTACACATATTTCATTTGTATTATCTGTGTACATTCAAGCTATTTAAATAATACAAATATGATGAAAATAAAAAGATTGAAAATATTAGCAATATCTTGCATGAGCTTGAATTCTTCTATTGAATCCATCTAATTTTCAATCATGAGCAAAAAGAAACAGCAACAGCACATGAACAAAATGAGGCTTTCATTTGTGCAACCATAAGCACAAACACACGTTGTAATTGTTGTAATTGTTAATGAAGGGATCACAAGCTTCAAGTCTCATTCACAATATCTGATTGTATATATCTTTTGGTTCAGCACAGCCCATCTGCTTAACGTTAATTATATTCACTAGACATGTGCTGAAGATCTGTGCAGAGCTGAGCCTGTTACACTTGTTCTCCCACACTACGATCTACCTGCTGGAAATTGAGCTCCATGCCCTCTGCTTCCTCCCGCGGTTTGATGGACAGCACACATTCACCTGGAACAAGAATAGAATCAGACTTAAGCATTTGAAAAACACTTTAGCTTTCTGTCAAAGGTGGTTTTCACTATGTGATTTGACAAGTGTCACCTTTTCATGTCAAACATATTTGTATTGTTTGTGAAAGCGCTTCTGGTTTATTTCCCCATCACTCAGCAACAACATCCTCGTCACATGTTGATCTTTCTAGCTATGAGCTAATAAGAGGTGATATACAGTGGCTCCAAAAATCCACACTTAAAATGTCATTGTATTAGAGAAATGTAAGTATATGCATACACACATACATACATATACTGTATATATATATATATAAATAATTTGAGATTTTTTGGTTTGAATTTTGTTATGTAACGCAATGCAATGACATTCATGTATGCGACTTCCGTGTGCAACCGTTTCCAAATACTTTCTAGGGACACTGTAAAAGAAGTGGTGGTTAAAGAAATAGTTCACCTAAAAATGAAAATATGCAGAAAATTTGCTCAGGCCATTCAAGATGAAGAGGAGTATGTTTCTTCATCAGAACAGATCTGGTGAAATGTAGCATTACATCACTTGCTCACCAATGGATCCTCTGCAGTGAATGGGTGCCGTCAGAATGAGAGTCCAAATAGCTGATAAAAACACATCACAATAATCCACACAACTCCAGTGACGCAAAAAGCTGCATGTTTGTAATAAACAAATCCATCAAGACTTTTTTTCCCCCTCTATCCACACAGATCAACACGGATCAAGTGTAAACGGTCCAAAACTATTCTAAACAAATATGTTGGTGGAGTTTAATGTGGCAGGATAACAGGAAATTGACTTTTTCACTGGAGGAAGCATTATTATGGATTTGTATTTTGGCCAGAAGCAACAGTTTAAAGGTAAATCGCTTTAATGATGGATTTATTTCTTAAAAATGCAGAGTTTTTCGCTTCACAAGACATTAATTGATCAACTGTAGTCATGACGATTACTTGTGAATTACTGTGATACTTTTATCAGCTGTTTGGACTCTCATTCTGACGGCAGCCATTCACTGATGAGCAAGAGATGCAATGCTAAACTTCTCCAACAAACTGACAACGTTTTGGATAGCCTGAGGGAAGGTACATTTTCAGCAAATTTTCATTTTTGGCTGAGCTAGTAACGATTCAAACCCATCGAGGGGTCAGAAAGTATTGCCATTGTGTCCTTGAGCAAGGCATTTAACCTAAAAGCATCTTCTAAATTACTACTTACACAAAGAGCAGAGACTTAATGGTATAATCCGTGATTGGGGTGCCATTAGTGGTACTGAAACACAAATGCTTTCAAACAGTAACCACACCCCCTTCTTCTCAAGTCACACTAGCCATCTGTTTCCAACCATAAAGTTTACTGTGGTGCATCACTACAGCTCCTTAACTTATCACAGTCCATTACCAGGAAAGATGTGCTGTGACTCAAGCACTTTGTGTTTTAATATAATTTGATGTAACATATTATGTAACATAGCATGTCCAGTGCACTAAAACATCTTACCAAGGTGAGCCATCAGCTCTTCAGTGGTGACCACTTCCATCTGAGCCGGTAACTTCACCTGAAGAATAGACACAGAGTTCATACAGTTCGTATTTTACATACATGTAATGATCTAAAGTACACATACACGAAATTCACAAACAAATACTTCTGCTTTTAGCCATGGCACACCCTCGTCTACATTTTTTGTAGTCTTCTATTTCACAACACTTTTTTTTTTCCTGAATGTGTTCTCAGACTAAAAGCTGACCTCGTGTTTATACAGTAACACACAGGAACAGATAAGAAGAATCATGAGTCTATTACTAGGTCAGTGAAAAGTCAAAGTTTTATTCAGCTAAATACTGGTATGACTGATTACAATGGATGTTATATATTTATATATACACTACAGTTCACTAAGGCTGCATTTGTTTTATGAGAAATCCAGCAAAACATTAATATTGTGAAATATTATTACAATTTAAAATAACTACTTTATATTATGATATATTTTCAAATGTAGTTTATCCCTGTGACACAAAGCTGAATTTTCAGCATCATTACTCAAGTCTTCAGTGTCACATGATCCTTCTGAAATCATTCTAATATGCTGATTTACTGCTCAAGAAACATTCCTTCTTATTATCAGTATTGAAAACAATTCCGTGCTTTATACTTTTGTGGAAACTGTGTTTTTTTTAGCATTCTTTGATGAATAGAAAGTTCAAAAGAATAGCATTTATTTGTAATAGAAATTTTGTGTAACATAAATATTTTTACTGTCACTTTTGATTCATTTAATGCGTCACTGATGAATAAAAATGTATTAATTTATTTTAAAAAAAAGGGTCAGTAAGATTTAAATTTCTCAGATTTTTAACAGATTAATTAAAAAATGTTTACTTATTTTTTGTGCAGTTATTTGGGTTTGTTCAAACAGTTTAAGTGATGCTTGCCTTAGCAAACACATAATGTACTTGTTTTGAACCATGTGTTTGTACTATGACTAGGGTTGCAAAGGGGTGGAAAATTTCCGGTACATTTCCCGAAACTTTCCAAAAATCCCTGGAATATTCAAAAAAAAATCCTGGAAAGTTTCCAAAATTTCTGAAATGTTTCCGAAATTTACTGGAAATTTTCCACCTTTTTTCAACCCTAACTATGACGAGCAGGTAATGCTGAATGGCTTACCTTCCACCGCAACAACAGGATGTTCATGATGGCAATCAGGGGGCAGGGTCCGTTCTCGCTCTGTGTGATAATAGCCGTCTTCTTCTCTTTCCAGGTAATCCACTTGACAAAATAATATGCCGGCATGCTAGGCTCTGATGCCCTCGCAGCCCCCACACAGGCCCCTCCGCTCCCCTGAGAGGGGACTTGGTTGCCATCCTCAGCAGATTTGGATGAAATCAAAGGTCTATCAGGAGGAATCCCATTAGTCTCCTCGGAGAACTCCAGACTGGCCATGGAGAAAGTGGGCGTCACCTCTGATTGGCTGGGCGTGTAAGATTGGCTATTGATGATCTCAGATTCATCGGTTTTGTCTTGGCTTTTACTGGTCGCAGACAGAGTTGCATTAACTTCGTCTTCAAGGGAAGCTGTGGTTGTTGGAGGATTTTTGCATGTTATAAGGTCATCTTTCATAAGGTGAGAAATACTCCCAGAGGATTGCTCAGCGTTGGTGACACCCTCTTTTTGGCTGACTTCCTTGTCCTGTGGTTTAACAGCATCAAAGTCCTCATTTTTGGTTGTGTTTAACTGCTGTCCCTCAGAAATGCCTATAATCTCACCATCAAAGGTGTCTGGGCAAGAATCTGCCATGACCTGACAGGTGAGATTAGGTGCTTATAATTAACAGAGCCAATTAAACTTGGGTGGAAAGCTTTTTTAAATTTTGGTTGCTGATAAAAAAAAAATCTGGCAGTGACTGTTTTCTTTACCCAAAAATAAAATTTTAGCTTACTTCATATTTCTGAGATTTAGGACCCACGTTTCTACCCGTGTCAGTCTTTTAAAAGCAATTGCTTACAGATATATTACATCAATTCCTTGTTAAGTTAAAAACTTGATACTTTCTTGCTTTCGTGCCACATCCATCACTAGTATGCGGAGGAGGAAACCGTTAAAGTGGCAGTTTTTCAGCACACCTCTGCCTAGTCGTGTTGTTTTTCAGTTGCCTAATTCTGGGAACAGCTGAGTCACAAGGAGGCTTTCTGTGGACGCACATAAAGCATGTCAGCATTTACAAACTCTACATGTACAAACCAGAATGCATTACCGTGCAATTCTTAAGTAGACATAAAAATATGAGCTTCAGAGTTACAATAGTTTGTCTGGCAAAACTATTTCATGCATAATAATTACATATGCTGGAAGACCCTCAGGGTTAGTTTTCACCTGATCACTGAAGGGTGACGCTCTGGAGGTTAAGAAGGATTTCTGATCTCATATTATGAATTTCACAAACTCTAAAACAAACAGAAAGACATTTAGACAAGATTCACTCACTAGACTGAACAAGTGAAAATGAGGAATTGTTGTCATTTTAAACAAAAAACACTGCAGATGAGGTTATGTTAATAAGTGAACTGTCAACACAAGGACTGTGTCTCTTCAGAATAATAAGGTTTGCAATCTATTTGCAAAAAACAACTTCTACTTAGTACAGTATGTGAATTCATAAATATATTAATGTATACTAAAAGTACATCACTTACAACAGCAGCAGCACAAACTTACCATAGCGACCTTTCTGCAGGTCTTTAAAAAGCTCTAAAACATAGACTGTAAAATACAGTAATCCAGAGAAGGTGTCTGGATGAAATCTACAGATATTTGTTGTCTACCCATCTGGCTGATACAGCGCACGTCTCTCTCTCTCTCTCTCTCTCTCTCTCACCACTCTTTCCGTAATCTTGTTTTTGCCTGTGTCTCACTTCCGGTGCCTGTGTTTGTAAACAGTGACGTCAAGTCGGAAGCTAATTTACTCTTTATAACTATATTATATTTATATAGAGATAGAGATATTTTCTCTACTTGGCAAAGTGTTATGTTAGGTCATACTGACAACAATGTTTCTGTAAAACATGTTTTGATATATTATGGGATTTGAATTATTATCAGGTATCTAGTGGCATCTCGTGGTTGGAGGAGGGAAGTGCAGGTTCGAGCTGCACTGAGTCAGAATGAGCTTTATTGCCAGGTGTGATTACACGTACGAGGAATTTGTTGTCGTGACAGAAGCTTCAACCGTGCAACAGAATGACAAAAAAAACACAGATAATAAAAAAATAGAACAAGTAAAATAAGGAATAAAAAAATATACAAATCGACAATTGTATGTACAGGTATATAACAATAGACAGTTGTGTGTACAGGTATATTATGTGCAAATTGAAATGTAGACTGAGTGTGTGTGTTAGATAAATAAGTGTAAGTCAAGTGTTCATGAGATGGATTGCCTGAGGGAAGAAACTGTTCTTGTGTCTGGCCGTTCTGGTGCTCAGAGCTCTGTAGCGTCGACCAGATGGCAACAGTTCAAAGAGGGAGTGTGCTGGATGTGAGGGGTCCAGAGTGATTCTGCCAGCCCTTTTGCTCACTCTGGATGAGTACAGTTCTTGGAGAGAAGGGAGAGTTGTACCAATGATTTGCTCAGCAGTCCGGACTACCCTTTGTAGTCTTCTGAGGTCAGATTTGGTAGCTGAGCTGAACCAGACAGTTATAGAAGTGACGATGGCAACTAGACTAAACTACACTGGAATAGAACAGAATAGAAAATCTGTCAGCACCCTCATTTTTTCAAACCAATACGACTTTCTTTCTTTAGTAGAACACAAAAGGAGATGCTAAGAAGAATGACAGCTGTATTCACATTCATTGTACACTCTTAAAAATAAAGGTGCTTCACGATGCCATAGAAGAACCTTTTTGTCTAAATGGTTCCATGAAGAACCTTTAACATCTGAAGAACCTTTCTGTTTCACAAAAGGTTCTTTGTGGCGAAATAAGGTTCTTCAGATTACAAAAAGGTAAGAAAGAGGTGGTTCTTTAAAGAACCTTTGACTGAATGGTTCTTTGTGGAACCAAAAATGGTTCTTCTATGGCATCGCTTGAAGAACCTTTTGAAGCACCTTTATTTTTAAGAGTGTATGGGCAAAATAATGCAATGAAAGGGGAATGGTGACTGAGGCTGTCAGTCCCAAACATCCTGCCAAAAAAAAGAAATGTATACAAGTTTTGAGGGTGAGTAAATAATGACAGAACTTTCTTTTTCTTTCTTTCCCGATATATAACGGTCCCTGCAATGCATTAGAGTAATCTTGTAAAACACATCAATAAATACACTTTATTCTAAAACCTTTTAGATTTCAGAAATACTATATTACCCTAATTTTATTATTTTGTTTTATTTCACTGACTGCTTTGCGGCTAGCACAATGTAGGGTACAAAAATGTACATTTAGTGAATGTTTAACTTTACCTGTTAAACAGGATTGACTAAGTTTTGTATTACTGGAAATGAGCTGAACTCTAGTGTAAAGCATTTATTTTTGTCTCGTGTGTTTGTATCTGAAGCTTCTTATTATTATCAAATTATAGTATTGAATATTCTATATTTAATTAAAGGATGATATTGGATAACTATATATAGTGTTAGTCTATCTGTTTGCACACTACACTCTAAAAAATGCTGGGTTAAATACAACCCAGTGCTGGGTAAAATAGGGACAAACCCAGCAATTGGGTTGTTTTGACTCAGCGGTTGGGTTACTACCAAGAAAGTTGTGTTAAACATTTAACCCAACCGCTAGGTCAAAACAGCCCAATTGCTGGGATTGTCCCTATTTTACCCAGCACTGGGTTGTATTTAACCCAGCATTTGTTAGAGTGTACTCCTCTAAAAGCTTCTTTATATTCCTGTACATTTCTAACGTGATTTTATTATTAATCTACTGAAACATTTACAGTCTGCGCATCTGGTATTCACTCAATTAAAGTAAATATTCACACATCAAAGCTGTGCGTTTTATTCTACTGAAGAAAATCAATACATTTCCATTTTGCGTGCAGTGGAAAGCTGGGTCAATCGACCTGATGGACGGTGAACTCAGCCAATCAACAAGCAGCACTCACATCACACAGTAGACGACTCCACTTGCAGAAAGAAGGGGTCGTTAACAAAACCACAAAACTACTAACATACACACATAAATGCAGTTACTAGTTTTTGCTATTTTATTAGAACAATAGATCAGCCACGCCCACCTGACGCTAATTATGCACCTGTCACTGATCCCCTTCATTCGCGCACAGAAGGTGGGCGGGGCTAATGCAAATCACCCACGACTGTCGCTGGTGATGTTGGGTGCGGTTGGTTCATGCTGAGCAGCCAGCGAGAAGATCGAGACCAAATAGGGTGCACCTTCTATTCTTACTACAAACCAGCTTGTTATTCAAAGAGAGCGAACCTGACTACATTCTAGGGGTATGCTTTTTTCCCCCCCCCATTTGTTTGAGCAATATTTTTTTTTAATCCCTTGCATTACAAATTATTTTGGTGTTCCATCACATATGGCATGATGTCCAGTCTATCAAAATTAATATGACCTAATTTGTCATTTAAAAATAAGATCGCGTCTTTTACTAGTAAATGTTTTTGCTTCAGGCCTATTTAAGGTTAGTTGCTTGTAATCCATTCTTACCACTGTACTGAAGCATCTCTGAAATGCTTTGTCATGAGATGCGCCATCACTATTTTTGGGGCTCTCTGTTAATTAATAGATGTGCATGTGAGATGCTGCAATAAAAAAAACATGCAGGCTATTCCTGATGGTCATTTAAGGACCTCATCCACCGATTGTCTCTGAAATTTGGGCGTATACCTGCGATGCATTGTGTGGAGCGTGTAGTTCAATTAATTAGAGTGGCTTCATCATAATCATTGGCTTTCATGTGTTCTTAAAATTGCAGCTTCCAAATGATATCTCTTCTTCGTAACGACAAGACAATGCTGCTTTGTTCTTATTCCTAAAGTCTTAAATCTCGCATCTTATTATAATATATTAATATCATTAGATGGCAGAAGTGTGGACACCATCATGCCGCTCATTCTTCAGCATATTGACTGTTTTTGTTGCCACAACAGTTTTATTATTCCTTATTTTATAATAAGCAGAATGATAATAAGCTGTTTTTATAATACATCTTTCCTTTGACAAGGATATGAAAGTTATTTGCTCATGTGAGCTGCTTACATTTTATTGTCATAAATCTTGCACCTGTAAGATCTTAAATCTTGCATCTCATTAATATAATTAGATGCTTAATATGCAGACACTATCATATAGACATTCTTGAGCATATTTAAGTTTTTTGTTATCACTGTTTCTTTTATAATCATCATATTGATAAGTTGTTTTTTTTTAGTAGTAGTAGATTTATAATATACAGGTGCATCTCAATAAATTAGAATGTCGTGGAAAAGTTCATTTATTTCAGTAATTATTTCAGTAATTTCAGTAATTATTCCACCAATATTTCTCCTTTGACATATAGGTGGAAGTTATTTTGCATGTAAATTGTTTGCATTTAATTGTCTTAACTTAAAATGATTTTTAAATTTTTTTGTACATAATAATAATCAATTTTACAATTAAAAAAATTATAGTACATTATATAATTGATATATTAGTTTATTATAATTAATATAGTAATTCTATTTATTATTTTATATTATATTTTAGCCTTTGGCCTGCATATGAAAGTTGTTTTACAGAAGTTTTGAACGTTGACCAATGAGAGCAATTGAGAGACTTGCATTGAGACACATTCATATTCAAAAGCATTTATTTATTTATTTTTGGCCGAAACAGGTGCAAACGTTTTTTGTTTTTTTTTATCCTAACTTTGCAACTTGAAGTAGATTTTGGGCAAGATATATATATTTTTTCTTTTTTAGTTTTTCCGGTGGTTTCATGTGTTGATAAGCACAGGTGTTTTGGAGCGCAACTGGGTAGCAGTGTAAGAAAGCAGACAACTGCAAATAGAGTTTGCATTATTAAATATGTCAAGGAAAGCTATCCGTTTACATCACAGTCAAGATGAAGACTTATTCATTTCTAGACATCATCAATACAGAAACCGGCAAAAATGATTATCAGAATATTATACATCTTTCATTTATACAATTATACATCAATTATATACTCATACATCTCAACTTCAGATTTTATAGTAAAATGTATATGTATAAGCAATAGGGGGAAAAAGTAGGCCTAAACATAAAACCCACTTATTATATACACTTACAATATATTTATAAATAAATATATATATTTTTTTAAATTGTATCTATACAGTTGAATAGTAGGCTGTGCATCAAAACCAAGTGAGCCTAGTCAGCATTTTGAGCATCATAGACTCGTGCGGGATTTATGGGGTTAAAACGCATCTAGTAGGCCCAAGCATGCTGTTAGAGTAGGCAGCGAACTAGGTTTTGAGACACGTCCACTGGCTCTGAACGGCTCGCTTTTATTTCCGGTGTTAAAGCAGCCGCCATATCTGAATGCGCTTTAAACGCATAGACATGTTTATGTTCAGCCAGTTGAGAAATACAGCAGGGAGAACTATATAGTGCTTTAATATCACCCAATATACGTCCGACAGACAGGGTATAGAGGTAAGTTTAATATACACAGATCTCATCCGTTGGTGGCGCAGATGCAGGATGTGCGTGATCAGCGCGGCTCTATGGTTGACTCCACATGGCACATGAGTTTAGCATGTTTAAAACCACCGTTAGATAGCCACCCACTGATGCATTCCATATGTTTTCATGTATGTGTTCTTAGGAATTTATTCTGGTAAGATTCATACGCTCTCTGTTATTTCTGTCGGTTTTCATCACTTATTTTCCATTGATATGGACGGGAAAGCTGTTGTTCATGTATTCACTTTTTTGAATATCAGCTTGCTTGCTAACAAATACATTGCTCAGCTGGTTACTGCACTAGTTTATGTGTTTTTAAACATCCTATGAAATAGAAACGCAAACGGCACGTCGAAATCTGTGCACGCTAGATTCTGGACCGATTGCAAATAACGTTAGGCTAGTCGGATACGTTGTAGTGCAAAGTAACGTTACGGATATCGTTAAGGAGTTGGAAGTTTTTTTTTTTAAGACGACGTTTTTAGATTTGTAAATGCTAATTAAATATGTCTGTAAAATATAGGTCACTGTATTAATTTGCTACACATCTCACATTACAAGTCAAATTTATATTTAGTCAATCTATATCATTTGAAAAGAAGTTAAGGATGTGGCTTGACACTTATTATTGGTCAGTGGCAGAGCAAAATTTCCCCAGTCCAGTATATCTCTCTTAAATGAATGCACAGACATCATCTTCATATAATAATACAGTTTATTCCCACTATGGCATATATAATATATATCTATCTATCAGTGACGGGCAGTGCATTTTAAACCTAGGCCTTCATTGGTGTCCTACATTAATTAATCCATCTCTTCATACCATCATAATGATGCCACAGCTATAGAAACCATAAATATTACACAGTAATGCAGTATAACAGGGCACTACATAACAGACAGGTATATTATGTAGCGAGAATGAATGCCATTACTAAAGAAAGAAACCCAATTAACAATTAAAAAACATACATCACCTGTAGCTGAAGCATTAACCTAACAAAATGACACAAATACAGTCCATCCGATGTTCTTACAGACATTTATTCAGCCAAATGTATTTATATCTTACAGATAGCATTGGTATAAAACAAATAAGTTGATTACATGTGTTTTAAAGTTGACCTAACAATTGAATGTTTGTTTCGTCTTCACAAGTCTCCCTGCCGGTCTGCCAGCGCACTGCGGGAGGAAAATACTGCTTAGCACAGCTTTACTAGGAAAGTGAGCAAGTAAGATTAAAATAATTCACACAAGACGATGAGGAAAAGTGTATAGATGTGCTTTAACATACCTCTGTGACTCTCATCTCCCCGCTGGTCTGCCTCTGCCAGCGGTGCTGAGGCCGGAGGAAAGGAAACTCAGATATTACTCGGGGAAACTCGGATATTCTTACGGAAACTTAAATCTGGCTTTATATCGCGCAAATAACATCAGCATACAACGCATCAAGCGATAAAAGAGTCAAAAATGAAAATTAATCTTCAGGAGTGTTATTGTTAGCCGGCTAGATGGCCCTGGTTCTGCCAACTCGAAATCTGATTGGTTAAAGCAACTGTTTCATTGCCATTGATTTAAACTTACAGACGCCTGCACTGTGGATTCTGAAGGCCTTAAGGCAGATTTCTTTGACCCTGGCAACACGATTGCTGAAATATGATTGGATAAAAGCTCTAATATAAACATACACTGCTGGAAGCAGTGCAACCAAGAGAAAATCTATGAACCGAAGAGAATAGACTATTGGAAATAATTTAATACACATTCATGGAAAAATATATTCAAACTAATTCAGTGATTCTGATGGTGTTTAGGCCAGCAGAGAAGGCTTTGCTGGCCCTGACGGCCCACCACTGATATATATATATATATATATATGTCTGTCTTTGCCTAGATGTCGTTGGTGGATTTGGGAAAGCGTCTTTTAGAAGCAGCTCGGAACGGTCATGATGATGAGGTCAGGACGCTGATGGCCAATGGAGCTCCGTTCACTACAGACTGGGTTGGTCTTGTTATCAATAATGTTATGAGTTAATATAATTATGCTCATAGACTTCACAAGAGACAGTCAATTAACAAAGCAATGATATCATTGCCTTTAAAAAAAAAAAAAAAAAGGTCAATGTCATTGACGTTACAATGGCAGTGCTATATACAAGGCATTACTACAAAAACTCCTAAATTTTTTTTTTTTTTTTGTGTAAAATGAATTAAAAAGTAACGGATCCATTAGAAGTTGTATTTTCAAACTTTGAAGTGTTGCTACAAGACACTTACATTTAGAGAACATACTGACATATTTAGTTCCCTTCAATTTATTCCTTAAAGGGGTCATATGATGCAATTAAAATTTTTCCTATCTCTTTGGAGTGTTACAAGCTCTTGGTAACTTTTATTCTCGCTGTAGTAGTGTTGTTGCCGCCGCCATGTCATGAAGGCGCTGTGTGTTTTGTTGTGAAAGCGAAACTACTTTGTTTGGCCTTCCAAAAGAGGATGATATCTGCTTCGTCATTCCTGGAGCTGATCCGTGCTGGTTGCTGAGGAAATACTTCAAATTCACACTGTGGATCGCCGGATCGGCTTTCACCGTGGACGAAACGGAGTCCAGCCCGGGGTCGTCACATCTGGTTGCTGCAAACCCGCCGGACGCTCCTTCGTCAAATCAGCTGGCCGTGCCATTCTCAAGCCCGCACGCCTCCGCTCACTCTAACCCGCCGCCGTTCACTCTAGCCCGCCTCTGCTCACTCTAGGCCACCGTGTGAAACTACTTTGTTTGGCCTTCCAAAAGAGGACACGACTAGAAATCAGTGGTTAAGTTAACAGTTAAACCCAAATATTCGAACTGTTTCCTGATCCTGGTAGAGTAGACTACAATGCCGGCTGTTCTGACTCAGACTGTAAGTAAGTTTTTCATATTTAAAGAATTTGCCACTGATGATTCAAACGCGAGTTTTGGGCAGTGTAGAGTAGTGCTTGTTGTTTGTCATTTCTCTGATCACAAATGCAGACATGGTATTATGTTTATGCGGCGCGATGCAACGCAATGCTTAAAAACACAGTATAAGTCATTATAATCCGTAATTATGTCCCCACTGGAAGCAACAAATGCCTCGTTTATAATGGGTTTTAATGTTTTTGTCTCATCGCTCCGGGACACCGCATCACAATATGGTAAGGAACGTAACATTTCCGTCACACGCTTGAGGTATTCGGCCAATCACAACACACTGGATAGCTGGCCAATCAGAGCACACCTCGCTTTTCAGACCGATGAGCTTTGTAAAAATCGATGCGTTTCAGAAAGGCGGGGCATAGAGGAGAAATAATAATGTACAGTATGAGGAAAATAATGTTTTTTTTTAACCTTAAACAGCATAAACACATTTTATTACACCAAGTACACAAAATATTGTTCTTTTTAGCAGCATCATATGACCCCTTTAAAGGTCTTTAAAAAGTCTTATTTACCTTCATAAAACCTGTATGTAGAATATAAAGGGAATTATACCATATAAATTGTTGCATTAACATACACATACACATATACAAATAATAATAATACAATGACCTTTAATTAAAAAATTCCCTTCCAAATTCTGTGCTTTTATAGTGTAGACCGATCATATTAAACTAGCTGCATTTTATGGCCTCCATTAATACATATGATATTTAGAATGCTTTGAAGTATCTGTATCGGAGTTAGTTTTTTTTTTTTTCTTCAAACCTGGAAAAGTCACATTCCCAGCTAAAAATTTGTTGCAAACGTACTCGGGGCCTGAATTTCGTTTTGGAAAATGGGCGGAATTCCCCCTTTAAGTGGTTCTTATGGGGGGATTTTTTAATTTGAGGGGGGAGTTGGGGGATTTTTTTTTAGACTTTTTTTTTTTTTTAACTACAATAATCCAACCTAAATATTTCGTCACCCAGTGTATTTGTGTTTCACAATTTATAATGTTGTTGGTTCATATTTATATTGTGAGGAAGATACTTAAAAATAACTTGAATTGAACTGAATTGAATTTATTTGAACTAAAAAATAAACAAGTAAACAGTCAGTATTAAAATAAGAATAGATAAATGACCAGCAATGGCACAAACAAATACATTAACAAGATACAACTAAAATGAACAGTGCTTTAGGTTTTTCAGGTAAGCATAACAGTAATATTCAGGTACAGAAATATCACAGAAACTGAATAATCTTTATTTTTTTATTATAATCTTTACGTTAATGACAGACAGCAGCAGGTTTATTTAGGTTGCTGTCTCTTTAAGACTCCTGCACAGCTCTAACTGTTACACACAAGTTTTGTTTCTCAACTGTTTACATTCACTTTACTGACAATGTTTAGTATAAATCGACTGTTTACGTGAATATTCATCAAGACGGGCATTTTGACAATTTTGTATGTATTTGTCCGTTTATGAGCACTATAAGACGCAACACAACTTCATTCTGTAGTCACGCGCTCTCAGATGCAGCTCTATGTGCGCGCACTTTGGGTGTGAGCTCACAGAAAGCGGTCTCACAGAGAGCGCGCAAGTACTGAATTGAGCACTTGAATGTTTAAAATTGTAAGATTCAAAAGCACGTGCAAATGATACATTCAGTCATCTGTCCCGAGCATCTTTCACGCTGAAATATTTGCGGGAATCAGTAGAATTATGCGCAATCCCACGCCGAATTCCAATCCCTGTGTACACACATACACGCCTACAAATTGCTTTGGGGTGTTTTCATTTGGGTGACTTAACAAATTTTTTTTTTGCAGCTTGGAACATCTCCATTACATTTAGCAGCCCAGCATGGTCATTACTCTACTGCTGAAGTGCTGCTGAGGGCGGGTGTCAGCAGAGATGCCCGAACCAAAGTGGACAGGACCCCTCTGCACATGGCGGCCACTGAGGGCCATGAGGTCATTGTGGATTTATTAATCAGGGTAAGACAATGCTTGTATTTTGTTATGCTTTTTTTAATGTACTGAAAATATTTCAAATCTCAGTTTGTCAGCTGAGGAGACTGATGCAAGTTTCTTAAATGTTTTAGAGTGGTGCTGATATCAATGCCAAAGACATGTTGAAGATGACGGCTCTTCACTGGGCAGCCCAGCACGGCCATCACAACATCGCAGAGCTGTTGATCAAACATGGTGCTGATGTACATGCCCTCAGCAAGTTTGACAAATCAGCTTTTGATATCGCTGTCGACATACAGCACATTGAACTTGTGCAACTATTACAGGTTTGTCATGTTCAGGGAAAACTGAAAAACATTAGAGAACAGTTTAGAAAATGTTAAAGATGACGAATCCTCTTTGTGTGTTTCAGGAGGGAATGCAGAATCAGGTGAACAGGAATGCCGAAGCATCAATCTTAAACGGCAGCTCCACCCCACAGTTCATCATTCAGGGCGTCCCAAACATCCAAGGGGGAGTCGTCAACCTCACTGACTTGATCAAAACCAACTCGGGTATGATAAGTTGACTAGAAAATAAATATGGAATGGAATAATGCAATTTGAAGCTTTTTTTCTTATCTTAAATAGTAATTAAACCAACAGTTGGTTTTTGTTTTCTGTTTGTTTTCAGGTGACACAGAGGAGGCCATCGCTGTCAGTGCCTTGGACTCGAGTATCCAGCAAGTGGTGAATGAATCGGGTCAGAGGGTCATAACCATATTAACAGATCAACATGGAAATCTGCAGACAAATGGACTCGGCCAGCCGTTCTTTGTCACAATGCAGGATGGACGACAAGGTATGACTAACTATTCTTATTTTAGATTTTGAAGAGAACTTCTCAATGTTACAGCTTTAGATTGTAAATGTTTCATATTTCAAAGAATTCTCTTATGTATGACAGCAATTTAGTGCCACATAAATAAAAAAAATTATAAGATTACAAGAATAAAGTTGAAATAATTTGAGAATAAAATAAACATTATGAGAATAACGTCATAGCATTGTGAGATTGAAGTCATAATATTTTGGGGAAAAAAATCTAAATGACCAGAATAAAGTCGTAACGATACAAGAATAAAGTTGTAGAAATACTAGATTAAAGTCAGAATATTTTAAGAATAAAGGTAATATTTCCAGAGGGAAATAAATTACAGTATTAGGGTAAGCAACATTTTTCTACTGGCTTCTGTGCACAAAAAATTTTTTTTTTTAAATATGGCATTAAAATGCCATTGTATACTCATCAAAGCTGCATTTATTTAATCAAAAATAGATTAAAACAGTAAAATTGTGAAATATTACAATTTCAAATAACTATTTTCTATTTGAATATATTTTAAAATTCCTTCCAGTATTCCTTCATTATTAGAAAGTTTAAAAAAAAACAGCATTTGAAATATAATTTTTTTGTAACAATGTAAAAGTAATTTGCAGTCGCTTTTGATCAATTTAATGCATCCTTGCTAAATAAAGGTATTCATTTCTTTATTTTTAATGGGGTTTTTTTTGTTACCTTTTTTTTCAGATGCAGTATATTTTCACCGCAGTCTTGTACTTTCTGTAATTAATGGTGGGTTTTTTTCTTTAGTAGTATTGGCAGTTCCAGCCAATCAAATCACAGAGGAAGTGGTAGATGACTCCGAACCTCCTGCCCGTAAAAGGAAAATCGAAGTTTCATCCAATAATGCAGAGACCAGTGAAACAGTGAGTGTAACTAGATGTAAAAACACCCTAAGAGCAAAACATCCAGATGTTAAAAATCACCCTGCTCCATCTTGATTCTATCTTTAATCTCCAGGAGCATCTCCAGTGGCAGTTACAGGAAGCCAACAGGAAAGCTCAATCCTATCGTCAGCAGTTGCTCTGCAAAGAGCAGGAAGCAGAGGAGTACCGCATGAAACTGGAAGCCATGGAAAACGGACAGCCCAACGGTACAACAGCCCTGGACCAGGAGCAAGTCGTGTTTGTGCAGGAAGAGGTTGGTTTCGAAGAAACAACGGAGGCAGAAGAGGAAGTAGTCATGTTTTCAGATGGTGGCGTAGTCATCAAAACAGAAGAGATCGACTCTGCGGACGAGCAGATAACTTTAGTGGAAGCCACGGCGGGTCACACGGAAGTCATTTCATAAAAGATGGCCCAAGAGCGTGGACTCAGTGCTTAAGCAACCAAAGAGTGCATCAGCACTGTTTTGCTTTGGTTCATTTAGATTTTTTGGCAGTTAAGTCCTTTTTGTAATTTATTTCCTTGTTCTGTTCAGGTTAATGTTTCTTGCTTCAAATGAAAGTTCACAAAGAAACAACCACAATGTGCATCATATGCACACACACACACACACACACACACGCACGCACGCGCGCGCGACCAGAGAAAATTATTCTTTCTGGGAGTCTGTATCTGTAGTGTCTTTAAAAGTGGTCACCCCTGATTTGTCCTAGATGGGGTTCTTCAAAACAGCTGGAAAAGGTTCACTCAGGATGGAACTCTTTGCAAACTGTATGTTTTTTGAGATCCCCTAGAAATGTAGCTGCCTTATTCAGACAATTAGTTTCATTGCTTTTGAAATTAAACAATGAAACTTCATCTCAGAATGCAGCAGTCATGTGTTCTATGCATTGGAAGTAAAATAATGAACCAATTTCAAGAATTTGATTTGTAGTCAATCTTTTTTTTCTGTTTGGCGATTTTAAAATCTATAGGTTAATTAAAAGTGCCTTTGGTCATGTTTAGTTTTCACTCAAAGGATTCTACATTAATTATTGCATATATGGTATTTGTTTCAGTGGGTATAAAGCATAATTCCCATTTAACATTTAACTCATTCCTTGTGTAACATACATATATATATATATATATATATTTTTTTTTTTTTTTTTTGCCTATGTATGATATGTTTAATTACTTTGAATATTAAGTTGAGAGCTCTTGTGCAAAGTGACAAAGAAAAAAGCTTTCACAAATGTAAAAAGTCTAAATTCAGCATCAGGGTTCTGTATGTTAAAATGTATAATTGTGACCTCCCTGAGTTATGAAAAAATAAGTGGTTTCTGAGGTGCATAATTATGACATGCTGATATCTGCAATAGACGGCAAGATCAGAAGTGATTGAAATGTATAAATGCTATAAAACAGAAAATAGTGGTAGTAAGTGATGTTTGTCAAGGACATAAATGTAGCAACCTCAGCAGAAATGGTCCATTTTAAGCAGTTGAGATGCATAAACTTCTCGCAAAGGAATTACATAATTATTTGTCCTTTTAACCATTCATAAAATTATGAATGTTTCTCATCCTCACATTGTAAACATGAGCCACAGTAATATACTGGCACTACAATTTATGAAGCTACAGTGGTGTAAATGCAAAATCTTGAGCTTAGTGTTTTCCTCCACTTGTGTTATGTGCTCGTGATGTATAAAGCTTTTGACTTATTTTTTATTAAAAATATTGTAATCAATTTGTGGCTTCTGTGTACATTTCTGTTGCTCATGTTATATACAACCCAGTAAAAGAACATTGTGCGCACAACACTAAATGTGATTTTTCAAGACTAATCGTACATTTTGGGGTAAGATTTTTTTTTCATTTTACATTTAAGGTCTTCTGCTCACCAAGGTTTCGTTTATTTGATTAAATACAGTAAAATAGTAATTTTATGTAATATTTCAATTTAAATAATATTTCCGTGTTAATATATTTTGAAATATATTAACATATATATATTTTGAAATGTAATTTACTTCTGTGATGCAAAGCGGAGTTTTCAGCATCATTACTCCAGTCTTCAGTGTCACATGATCCTTCAGAAATCATTCTAATATGCTCATTTGCTGCTCATTTCTTATTAATGTTGAAAACAGTTGTGCTGCTTAACATTTTTGTGGAAACCCTGACACATTTTCAGGATTCCTTGTTTAATGAAAAGTTCAAAAGAGCAGCATTTATTTGATATAGAAATATTTTGTAACATTATAAATGTCTTCAGTCATTTTTGAACAATTTAATGCATCATTGCTTCTGTACTTAAAACAGTACTTCAGATAAAAAAAGAAATAATAATAATAAAATGACAGTTATATAAAATAGTTTATTCTTGCTAATTCTGAATGGGTACATTGATCAAAATTAAGAAATCAGTACACAAAGCAGCAAGAGATCCATCTATCAAAATACATAATTTAAATAAAACTGACAAAGCTTTCAAAAAGGTCTTCACATTAAGGTTTAGGGAGGCATTGGTGCTCTCACTGGACCCCTCGGTGGTGCAGGAGGACGTGGCGGCATGGGAGGCCCTCTCTGAAAGCCGAAAGGCGGGGGTCTGGGTGGGCCGGCACCATAACCTGGAGGTGGCATTGGCGGAGGAGGTCCCCTCATACCTGGATGCATTGGTGGACCTGTAAAAGAAGGGAGGAATTATTGCTTAACAACAGATTACGTCTATATTGCTTCCGTTTAAAAGCACAACAAGGCACTTCACACACGTACCCATTGGGGGACCAAATGGTCCTCTGGGAGGGACACCCATGGGTGGAGGAGGCATGCCGGGTGGAGGTGGCGCTCTTGGTTGAGAAGATCCAGGCGGGCCAGGTGGGTGAGGCACCATTCCTGGAGGTCCTGACGGAGGCATCGGCATGGGCGGCATTCCTGGTGGATTCATTCCCACAGGAGGGAAGGGCGGTGGTCCCGGCAGGGGCCCTGCGCCGCCAGCCTGTGATCCAGGAGTACCTGGTGCAGGAGGCATGGGCATATTGGGTGGCATCCCATGATGATGCATTGTGCCAGGAGGAGGAACAGGTGGGAAAGCACCAGGTGGCGGCATTCCTACAAAAATTACACAAAAAACATTTATTGTACCAGTAATAAGAGGAAACATACTTGGGTCCAAGATCCTTACATTAAAGGGCTAGTTCACACAAAAATGAAAATTCTGTTATCGTTTACTCACCCTCATGTCGTTCCAAACCCATAAGATTTAAGATATTAAGACGTTTTTAATAAAACCTGTGAGGTTTCTGTCCCTCCATTGAAAGTCCGGTTAATCAAAACTTAAAAAGACCCAAAAAGTTTATAAATGCGTCATAAAAGGAATCCATAAGAATGGAGCAGTTTATTCCAAGTCTTCAAAAGAGATTTGATCACTTTATATGATGAACAGATTTAAATTATGCTTTTAAGCTAAACAATGATCGACACAGATACTTGATGTGCTAGATGAGTCAATCAGAGCTGCTTTACAGATGAATCAAATTTGTTTCATAACTGACAAATTTTTCAACAGTGTTACGTAACTAAACTGAATCGACATTAAATTGGCTCAAGCTGAAAAATAACAATATTGCCTTGTGTAGAGCTTCTTTTTGACTAACATTAGACTATTATTGAATTGAATCAACACTGAACTGACTAGAACTGAATAATGACACTAATATTGTCTTGTTAAAGCTGCTTTATAGAAGAATTTGTCTCATTTGAAGTAGTTTGCATCATTGATTCTGCTTAATACTGTGAAGCTGCTTTGAAACAATCTGTATTGTATAAAGCACTATATAAATAAAGGTGACTTGACTTTCAATGAAGCAAAAGAAACCGCTCAGGTTTCAAAAAGAAAAAAGTTAATTGTGTTTCACAGACGAACCAATGTCTTATGGGTTTGGAACAACATGAGGATGAGTAAATTAATCAGTAAATTTAAAATTTTTGGTCGACTATTGTAAGGTCAAAAATTATCAAAGATTTCTGCTTTCCTGTCCCAAACCTATCTTCAGTAACAAAAGGGCCATTTGGAATTCCTGAAGGCACAGAGGTGCTGATAGTGATCAATGCCTGTAGGCCAACATGTGTATACACCGGGGGTCTGCTAATTGTCACACCTTTTGCCCAGTGGGTGAAGTTGCAATCTGCTGATTGGTCAGTTTGAATGTCTCACATTTGGTTTTTAGTCACATGGTCAAGGAAGGGATAAAAGAGGACTGTAACTGTTGCTCTGTCTCTTTTCTTGGCTGCCTCTCTTCTTGGGTCTCTGCCCTCTCTCCCTCTTTTTCTTCCTCTCTCTATCTCTTTCTCTCAGGTAATATTTTACATGTTGGGTACAATTAACTATGCTTTACCATCCTTCATCTATTTTGTAACCAATTCAAGTGTAACCATAACAAAATATTGTTATTAAACCATTTCAATTATTATGTGCTAACTAGTCTTGATTCAAGGTTCTTCTTAAAGTGTTACCTATTGCAATACAATAGTCACACAATAGCAACGCTCTCCCACATATGTAGCTATTCTAACTGCGCTTATTTCCGTCGTTGGTATAAGTGGCAGTGGGTGGTAATAGACTAGAAATGTACAGTTTTATACCATCGTGCTGATAACGTTTCTTTAGTCATTCGGCAATCCTACAGCCTGAACCACCGTAGGAAAACCATCCTTACACTATCCCTTCAACTAACCTGGAATTGGAATCCCTGTTCCAAGGGCGGTCATGACCGGTGTAGGAAGTGTGGGAGGTGGTGGAGCGTCTGCGAAAAGCTGATGGGGACGATCGGCCTGTGAAAGTGGATTCTGGGCGGCCAGGAGGCGCTCTGCAGCCGAGCCGTGCCTCTCGCCTTTTGAGTCTTTCTTAAAGGCGTATGAAACCGTGATGGGCCGATTGCAGAGATACTGGCCATTCATGGCCTCAATAGCTGCATCGGCGGCATCAAAACTGGCAAAGTTGATGAAAGCATAACCCTTTGAGTTGCCCGTGTCCGGATCTCGCATGATCTTCGGTGTCTGAAGGATCACGCCGAAAGCGCTGAAAGTGTCATAAAGGAGTTTCTCATCGATCTCAGGGTCCAAGTTGCCAATGAAGATGTTGGCACCGACGTCGAGGTTCTTGTTGTGTGCCGAAGCCTTGTTGACTCGGATGGGTTTGCCGTAAAGTTTGATCATGTTCATGATCTTTATGGCGTAGTCTGCATCCTCTTCACTGAGGAACTCCACAAAGCCATAACCTGAAGATTAGCGAGAAATATCAACTTAAAAGCATCGGAAATGTTAGAATGTTTTCTCTGGGCTTTATTATAAGAATTTAGAGTCTCTTCCCCCATGGCTTATGATGGAAGCAAATTCCGCAAAACCCAGCTCACTGAATGCTTTAGTACATTCTCCCATTCTATTTTCTACCTCACCATTTGCTAAGAATTTGATAGTAAAGATCACTCTTAAGATTTGGCCTCAGTTTAAGCGCTTCTTTGGATTACAGTCATTCTCAATCTATGCTCCGATAGCCAGTAATCATGTTTTTTCTCCCTCTCTGTTGGACAGTGGCTTTTTATCTTGGTCTAGTTGTGGCGTTAACTCGTTCCATGATTTATATATTGATGGCACTTTTGCTTCTTTTCAACAGCTTAGAGAGAAATGTTCACTTCCAAAGCAGCATTTTTTCAGATACT